GGTGGTGGTGGTGGTGAACTGTTTGGCTAGCGTTCTGTCACCAAGTGAGGTGGTAGTGATGACAGCATGTTTACAATGCGATCCCCAAAATCGGAGACCAGTTCAACCACTGAACCCCCAACTCTCTCCTTCGAAACATCGGAATTAACCGAGTTCGCAAGTGTCTCAATGTATGTGTTTAACTGGCATGTTCTCCTATGTCAAGGCAATGTCAGTGGGGATTAAATCTGTTCCCGAGTTTTCAAACATTGGAAGGGGTGGAAGCTTTCACGCTTCAGTGACTCGAGGACGCCCAGCGTGAATCTGTTGAGCCAGTTGACTTGATAAAAGGACATCCAAGTTGGTTTTCCGTTTACCGGTTAAGCGGTTTTTCGCAAAACTGCTGTTGATAACGCCGACTTGTACATTTGTTCGCACCCATTGTTGTGGCACTGGTCCCTTGGAAAACTGTCGTGACTTACTCGATCTCAAAACTCACCTGATCTTGTCATCCGGTTTAACTGTTTCATTGTACCTCCACACAACAGTGCTGATCATGTCGCCACCGCTCCCTTCATTGTGATGCGTCGCCCGAAGTACCATCGTGGCAGCATTTATTGTGTTGCATGGAGTCCAGATGGACGCTTGATTGCTTCTGGGAGCAACGATACCACAGTTCGGATGTTGAGCGTCGATCCCACCACGGGACTGCCCGAAGCAGCGAACGGAGACCCCAGCGTGGCGAATACGGCGGGTCAGTGTGTGGAATTACGGCACCACGATGGCACCGTGCGTGATTTGGCTTTCTTGGTAAGTCTACCTGCCAAACACTGCTTCACAACTATGATCTTGTTAGCACTCAATGCAGCACTTAGGGAGCCTTCCCTTTTAATTGTTTTGGAGAAGAACCTTCCGCTAAGACCGCTAAGGTTTTGTCGAACAAGATGGAACCCCTCTAGAGTTGAACCTGCTCAAATCTGAAACATTTCACATGTATGTAAAACCATTTACACTTTATAGTCAATAATTTGCTGATCATGCCGATATGTAACAGCTTCACATTTGTAGCGGGTGATTTCCAGACTTTTTGGCTCGTTAAAGTCATTACCCATCACATCTTCTGCACAGTAAGATTTGACCGGCTGGAGTATAGTGTTAGAAAACGCCATTCACTACTCACCGAAGAA